AGGAGGTATTTTAGAGACTAGCAGATGTGCTTATTGCACAGGTCTCTAAGTGATAACTGTTCTTAAAAAGTTATTTGGAGTCTCAATGGCTGTAAGAAAAGAAAAGCTAATTTTGAAAAGGATATTAAAATAATAAATAACATTAAGTTGTGGTTGTTGAGAGAACTTAATTCCTAGTTGATTATATCTAGGTCTGTAGATTGAAACCTATCTAAAATAATTAAAGTTTTGAAATGTTTTCAAACAATGAGTGGCTACAGATATTAAAGAGAACTAAGATTTCAGTAATTTTCCTCTGCTGTGACAGAAGCAAATGAGTTTTATTCATCTTTGTATTAATAGTATAGTATAAACTACTCATTGTTTGAGTGAAAAAATGCATCAATGAAGTGATTAATAAATAAATTAGCCCATATTTTGCTATCATAAAAAGTCCTATAAATAAATCAATAAACGTGAAATGATGAATAAGAGGGGTAGGACTTTGCACTGCAAGTTTTAATGGGTGTGATGAATAGAAAATATGTAAGTACTTTTTTTCTCCCCTAAAGAAGTGTGTGTGTGTGTGTGTGTGTGTGTGTGTGTGTGATGGAGATCAGGAATGGATTCTGTAAGGCACAGTTTACAAAATTTTAACCAGCTGAACGACATGGAACAAAAGCAGTCTGAATCAGTTAGGATAATAGAAAGAGATTACAATCTGACACTCTGCTAAAAACATTTAAACTTTGCATCTTTCCAAATCTCAGTGGAATACCTTTTTTTTTTCTTTTCCCATATATATCCAGGATGGTAAATCACCTCCTTTATGTTCAGAGTAGAACTGAGCTTTAGAGAATTCTGATGACTTCTGTAAGATCCTCCAGGTAGTCCCTAACTAGACTCTGCTATCAAAAAACTTCAGGAACCAGGAGCTCCCTCACACTGGAACACAGAATCTTAAATCATAGAACACGGGAGTCAGAAGAACCTCAACATCCATCTCATCAGTACAAGCTTGCTTACGCTACTGTCCTCTCATAGTTTGCAAATTCAGGTGTCCGTACGTTCCATGACACCTATAAAATGCAATGGACTTGTAGTAAGAATAACAGTGTTGAGAGGCACTCTACAAATAAGAAAACCAAGACCCCCTCACTTTCTCTCCACTCTCCCCCCATACAGATAATAAATATTCCCCCATATGCTGATTTTATGACGTTAGAATCACTCTTAATGATGGCTCTAAATTTTCAAGTGGCCTTGCTATCTATTTTCTGACAAAAACAATTGCTTAAGAGAAACTATACCAAAGCAAAATGACCTTTTTTTTTTTTCCTCAGTAGCTGCCCTTCGATATTTAATTGGCTTGTTAATAATAGCCGTATTCAGCAAATCATCTCATTAAGTGACCTAGGGGAACATTTTGCAACTAGATTATCTTAAATCGTCCCCTAGGAAGTTAAATTTCGTGAGTTAGGCACTCTATAAATGCATAATTGAGATTTTGATGCCTCAGGGAAGAATTTGGTAACACCCACTTTAATTTTTGTCCTATTCCCTAGGAATAGCAATTAAGGGATTAAAAAGCCTCCTTGTCTAATGTTGAAGAGAAAATAAAATTGATTTCTGGAAAAAATATTAGAATTAGCCTTGTTTCTTTATGCCATCAGTTCAACTACATAAAATGATAAAGTGACTTTTAGTTTATTAGGCTAAGGGTTTTAACTGTTAACAGTTAAATGATTGTTAATGCACAGAGATTGTATGTCTAGTACCTGTCAGAAGTTACACCTCAAATGCCCAATACTTATTAAAGCTCATTTTCCAGAAATAGTATTTTTGGAAGATTACCTCAAGGATATGGAATCTGTTCATCTCTCAGGAGACTAAATTTTATCCTCAGGTAATCCAGAACTCAGCTGTCTGCTCAGTCATTGGCTCTGACATTAGTATCTCCAGTCAGGACCAAAGCAAAACTCAACTCCTTCATAGATTTCCACAAAAAATAGCAACTCAAACAAAGCACTTCAGAGTTCCATAGAATATACTGGATATCTGGGGCCACGGGGAGGGCCACGGGAGCACAAGGTCTCTACTGCCTTGTTTTGTTCTTGTGCTTATCTAATTCTTCAGTATCTCTGCTTCTCTCAGCCTCTCTTTTCTGTATGTGTGTGTGTGTGTGTACACACAATACATAAGTATTATATGCTACTTTATTTGTGTGTTTATGTATGTATGTCATATATAATCTAAAATTTATTTTAGAGTGAGGTTTCCTTAAGCCTTATTATTATCATTATTGTTATTATTATTATTTTTTGCATGAACACTAATGCAGTGTTTTAAAATTTAGTTGAAACAATGAGTCTACAGCATCTGTTTTTGTATCTCACAGTGGTTGTGCATTTTTCTGAGGTTCTCATTGTGTTTTTTTTTTCTTTTTTGTGTGTAAGTATCTGTGAATTATACTTTTTAATTAATTGAGTTATAACAAATTTAAAAAAACAAAAACAAAAAAAAACATGGCACTGGAGCATGTTAAAGCATTTCTAGCGAGGATAACATCACCTCCTCAGAGGAGGCCTGTTTGGCCCCCGGCCTCTGTTAGGGCTCCTTGTTACCTGTTCCCTGGTAACTGTCCTCTGATATTATAGTTTGCAAATTCAGTTGTCCATACCTTCCATGACACCTAGAAAATACAATGGACTTGAGAGAACTCGTGTCTTTCTTCTGAGCTAGTTCTTCCACTTCAAGATGAGAGTGTTCCATGTGTCTCCTCCACTGTTGTCTTTACGGTTTCCAGAACACAGCCCCAACACCCAGCAAGGGCTGAATGAATACTTGATAAATTAGTGAATAAAGAAAGAATGTTTTAGGGAAACAGCGGCTGTTTGGAACAGTTGTCTATGGCATTGCCATAGCAAGCCTAGTATCATTTCTTAACTTTGCTAGTCATTTAGTGTCTTGGACAAGTTACAATCCCTGTTGCCCAGTCAATTCTCAGTCTTCCCGTAACCCTTTCACTAAACCTGTTAACACCTTAACTAGTACCGGGCAATAGGGCAGTTTGAAAAATACATCAGTTTATAAGTTCAAAAGGCAAGGCAAGTGCCTCTTGTTTATAGAACTTTTAAGTGCTTGTCCAAAATCCGTGGCATCATTAGAGGTGCTCATATTTTCGGTTTTAGATGAAATAAGTCAGTCATACTGATCTATTTTGTAAGAAAAGTTCTGTGGCACCAAAAAACACTAAAATAGGAAAATATTGTGATATCAAAACCATAATATATTCCTGTCATTTCTGAAGGAAAGTTCAATTTGTAATTCCATCTACTTAATGTAATCATAGATTTAAGTTCTGCCATCTGATTTCAGAGAGTAAGCCCTCAATTATTGCCCAAGTCTCTAAAAATATTGTTATTCTTTATAGTCAAAGAAACATATGATTTTGGCTCACCATAAATAATACTGGGATGAGCTCTAAGTTTTAAAAAAATAAAACTATCTTCTTTCTATCTGTCTTTATCTATCTATCTATCTGTCTGTGTCTCTGTCTATCTGTCTGTCTTCCATCTATCTATCTAAGTGAGTGTAGCCAGGCTAAGTTTATTTCTAACTATATCTCTAGAAGAAGCCTTGGTGGCACAGTGGTTAAGCGTTAGGCTGCTCCTTGGAATCCCTACTCTGTCCTACAAGGTCAGTATGAGTCGGAATCAACTCAATGGCAACGGGTTATACTTTAGGAAGTGTGATTTGTAATCACAATGACAGATTATTAGATACATGATTCTAGAGTAATTATTATTTTATCTCCACATTTTATTAAGGAAATAATTACCTCCTAATAATAGCTGACATGGTTAAGTGGTTATGATGCCTTAGGCTCTGGGAAAAGAAATTTACTCTTTTCTTCATTGCTTTCTCGTGGAAGCCAACAGGCGCCTTCTACCATCATGTCTGTTATAGAGAAGAGGGAAATGAGGTAGAGAAGTTACGAGATTTACACGTGTTTACCTGGTTATCATATGGTACAACTGGATAATTACATTGCTTTAGGTAGTTTCATTCATCATATTACATCAATTTATTTTTCTGTGTTAATGTTAGTAATCACAACTTCTTTTAAATAAAGATGTATTCAAAAAAATTAAATATTCAAGCCATTTATTTTAGTAAAGAGTCAAATAAATTAGAAATGTAGAATGCGTGAGGATAGATAGCAAGCTTTTATACTCCTGTTCTGATGACCTATTTAACAGGTAACAATTACCACTTGTATGTTGTTGTTTTTATGAGTCATAAAATATCTTAGGACTAAAACAAATACTGGTATAAATAATATCTAAACTTTATTTGCAAGACACGTTATCTTTTTTTTTTTTCTTAACTTCTCAAGAGTCTTTAACAATAATCTCTGGCAATTATTTTAATGCATATATTATACTCCTTCCCTATATGTGTTTAATCTTTCCTTTTCATGTAAATCTGACCTGATGCTGTCGAGTCGATTCCAACTCATAGTGACCTTATAGGACACAGCAGAACTGCCCCATAGGGTTTCCAAAGAGCAGCTGGTGGATTTGAACTGCTGACATTTTGGTTAGCAGCAGGCTCTTAACCACTGTACCACCAGGACTCTGCATAGCGTGGCCTCTTCACATAACTGTTAAAAATCAACAAAGGGGCCAAAAACCAAACTGATATATGCAAGATGGGGAAAAAAATTAAAAACTTAATGGAGGAGAATTACCAACTGCTAAACCATCAAGGTTTCAAGTTTAATTATAAAATCATTACTCATTAACCAGTATGAACATTACATTTATTATTGAATTATGCTAGAAAGAATAGTGACTTCATTTACATAGCAACTTCATTTATCCCTCTGCATGAGAAAACTACTTTTTTTTTTTTATATTAGTAAGGCCACTTGTTCCATTCCAAGATAAATTAGATTTTTTAAAAATCAGAACTTTAATGTATGGATATTTTTAAAATATATTTTAATGCCTTTACAGAAAGATAAGGAAGACCAGTGGCTAGAGAAAAAAGTACAGGGAAATAAAGATCACATTATTTTGGAGCATCTACAGTGGACAATGGGGTATGAAGTGCAAATTACAGCTGCCAACAGATTGGGATATTCTGAACCAACAGTCTATGAGTTCAACATGCCGCCAAAGCCCAACATTATTAAAGGTAAGCAAAATTATTTGCAAAATGTGCTTTATAAGGCCGAAAATAAATATGACATCATCTTTTTTTACAACCCTTACGGATTTTTTCTTAATATTGGAAAAAAAATGTTATAAATTGCAGTGTATTTGTTGTTCTAACCATGCTTATTATGACATGTCATAGTCAAGGTCTCCCAGTCTGTCTTGCTATGGTATATTGCTTAATTTGTAAAATACACTTTGGCAGCTTCAGTGGCAGAGGAGGTAGAGAAAGGATGAACTGAGGGAGAGGATGGAAGGTAGGAGTGACTGATGAAGGTAGACCTGGGGATTTTGTTTGGATACCAGAAGAAACTTTTGTGAAGAAGACAGCTCTGCCAATCACATAGGGACTGCTTCTCCACTTCTGGGAAGATGTGAACAAACATAATGATGAGTTCATCCATGCCTAACCAAGCAGGTTGATTTTGGATAGATAAAACCAATCATACAGTGAAGCAAAAACAGCCACAAGTACAGCTCCACAAAGAGAGCTATCTCCAGAGTTTCAAGGAGGCTCACATCCTGGCAGGATACTCTCGGTTGGTATTCATATTGCACTGCTAATGTGCTTCTACATTTGATAGATTCTACTTTTATTAGGTAATAGTGCTAACATTATCACGTGTTAGTTATGTTATCAAAGTCTGTAGAAAGAATATTAAATATGTTTTCAGAGAAATACCATAGAGATAAAGATGCAAAAATTTATCCTGGTTCTAAATCACCCTGTTAATAAGTTGTCATATTAATTTTTCTTTAAGTACCATTCGTTAATATTTATTGTAAATCTCATCTATATGTATATATATACATACATATAAGGCATATTAATTCATAAACACAGTCTATGTCTTATTATAATAGAATTTCAGTATTGGTACATACTATTTTTGAGTCTGGAAAAGAAATAAAATGTGTCAGGTCAGCAGGTCCGTCATGATAGTTAACCATCTTGTAATTGCAAATTGATATTAATCTCATTATTATGATTTTGTTCTATCGTGTACCAGTTGTTTAAAATTCAAAGTAGCTTTATAGGCTTAACCCTTTGATTTAAAAATATTGTCTTTGGTTCTAAGATTTAAAAGTAGTTAATATTTTTGTTCGTGTTGCCCATTTATATGCTATCAATCATAATTTAAAATTAGGAAGTTGGGAGCTTCTAGAAATAGTATGGCTATTTTCTGTTGTAATGGCATTTTTTAATTACCAAGTACTTCTACATTCTTCATCGCATTTTATTCTACATCTATGTGTTAGACAGTGAATAGTTGTTATCCTCATTTCACAGGTATGATTTTAAGAGGTTAAATGATCTGTTTGGTGTCAGAGCTACATAAGGCATGTGACAAACTGGATACTCTCAAAAGATGATGTTCCAGAAAGAGCAGACAGGTTGAATCTCTGTTGAGTACATGGCCCCTGTGAGTCTGAAACATCATTAGATGACTGCAATTATAATGTGTTACGTATGTAGTAATTATACTCTGTGCAGACATAAGGAACTATGTAGAAATGTGATTCTCAAATTGAGTCAGAATCCCTAAAAAGAGTATATATGCAACAGTGTACTCCATCCTCCTAAATGTTTAATTTAGTTAAAATGTTTGGAGGAAATAATGTATTTTGTTAATAAGAAAATGAATATATTATGAAGTGTAAGACAACATTCGAAGATCATGTATGGATAAAACACAAAATATTTAAAAAAAAAATAGCAGGTTTCTTAATGCTATGCTCGGAGTCCCTGCTATTTTTGTAAGCAATTGTTGATAATAAAAACCAACAATAGGTAAAGACAAACTGTAAAATAAAAAAGAATAAGCATAAAGGCACAGTAATAGCCAAAACATGTGTAATGCATTTACTCTAAAAACCTTTTTTTTTTTTTAAATTTCTGAGAGTCGGCTGTGGGCAAGACCTAGCAGGAATATAGGCAGGATTGCAGTTTCTGTTTCCAGCTCTGCTCTTGTCACGTCACTTCTCTTTATATTTATTTCCTCACCTCTGAATTTAGTTTAAAGAGCCCTGGTGGCAAAGTGGTTAAGTGCTCATGTGCTGGGCGAAAGTTCAGCAGTTTGAGCCCAGCAGACATTCCACGGAAGAAAGATGTCAGATGTGGCAGTTTGCTTCCATAGAGATTTACAGCCTTGGAAACTCCATGGGGCAGCTCTACTCTGTCCTATAGTGTCACTGTGAGTCAGAATTAACAGGATGGCAGTGGGTTTTTGGTTTAAATTTAGTTTCTTCCTGCTCTACAATATTAAGGTCCATTCATTACTTCATACCACAGATATTTCTTGGGTCGTTCCACGTGATAAACACTGAGATGAGTACAGAGGTTTCATCTGTGGAAACTATTGAACTGGCCACTGTTCTCAAAGACCCCACAATCTAGTAGGGGAAACAGACATTAAACAAGATTTATATTTACCATTTATTATTACAACTCAGAGATATGTGTGCTGGTGCAGGAATATGCCCTGAAAGGGTAAGACACAGAGACCTAACTTACAGTGGGAACCTGCCTTGGAAGGTAAGAGATAGTATTCATCCCCTCTAAACTCTCCCTGGTGGCCAGCACAAAGCCAAAGCAGCTTATTGGCAAAAGTAAAAAAGAAAAATAAAGGAGTGGTTTTATCTATAAAAATGCCACAAAATGATGTCTAATTTGCTGTGGCTGAAGCCACTGATTGCTAAGTCCTCATGAAAAGCCACATCAAAGAAATTATTTTCATATTGAACTGAACCTGTTTGATTCTCTTATAGTTTAAGAATAGTTTGATTTAGATTTACAGAGTTTCTTGAGGCAAGGTTAAAGGCTGTGATGATGATAGATCTGGGAACCCTTAAACTCACAAAATCATGTAAGAGTTAAAATTATAGATATAAAAATCTGGGAAAAGTATTTTATTAATAACTTTCATCATAACTACCCTTATGGTTATATGATTTCTCAGCTCATTTTAAATAAAATATTATAAATTAAAATTTATGCCTGAAGTAAAAATCAAAAACCATACCCATTGCTGCTGAGTCAATTCTGACTTATAATGACCCTATAGGGCAGAGTAGAATGTCTGAAGTAAGTTATCTGTAATAAACTAGCAGATCTTGAATTGTTTATTCAACTTTGAGAAGAAATGGAGTTTAAAAGTTAATTGTGTGTTATTTATTTGTTTTTACATTGCATGCATGCCATACATATGCATGTCCAAACGAGGATTACAGGTTTCCCCCACTATCTGAAAGTCTAGTGTTCCAGTGAAACTTTTCCTAAGCCAAAATGGTGTAAAGTTAAGAAGCAATTACCATTAATTTATATGGGAAAACTTTATAAGCATTCCCAGAGCCAAAAAATAACCTACCAAATCATACCAAATAACATATAAAATCTAAAATAACACTAACATATAGTAAAAGCAGAAATTATATGATAAGTACGCAGCCTATATTAAGTTTACCATGATTGAAACACTTAATTACAACCAGTTTGATGCTAAGCATAACACCCTTATGAGCTCTTTTAGGCTTTTCTGATACCGTTGGACCCATCTTGCTACCAGATGCACAAAATAAATCAAGATAAAACACACATGCTCACAGACACAGTTCAGAGCTATGGCAGCTTGATGCTCAGACGCTGAGTGTTATTTCTGGGAAAGGAGACTGGCAATGTCACTCTTGCTGCAGGAGTGCACGCCACCTCTTCAACGCTCGCAACAAAACAAACACTAAACACTGTTTCCAATTTTAGCCATTTTTCGTGTTTTAGGGAAAATAGATACCAATCTAGATCTTTCGTAAAACTAAACTGGCTGTAAAGTGAACTTGCAAAAAGCGGGGGATACCAGTATTGACTTTTGAATTAAAAACCCATTGTTTGTATGAATTAACAGATATTTAACTTTTTCTAGGCAATAGCTAAATCTGCAGTACATTTATTTGTTGAAATGAAGCAGTAGTTTTTAAATTTACTCACCTTACATTCATATATATTATTTTGGTAATATTGGCTTTTCTGTCTAAAACCTTAGTAAACCCAAAACCAAACCCGTTGCGATCGAGTGGATTCCCACTCATAGGACAGAGTAGATCTGGCCCTTAGGGTTTCCAAGGAGTGGCTGGTGAATTCGAACTGCTGACCTTTTGGTTAACAGCTAAGCTCTTAACCACTGGATGCTGTATTTCTTCATAAGTTACTATAATTCTTATTAACAAAGATATTTTGGGCTAATTTTTGAATATTTTCTTATTTTTACTTCTTAATAAGATGTGCTTATTTTGAATTTTGATTTACATAGTAATAGAGTGTGCTAGATCACGACCACATTGTCATTTGGAATATTCATAGAGCATAATTCCATCTCATCTTATAAACAATGGAAATATTGGGTAGTAATGGCAAATTAATGCTTATTAAAATGATTACAAAACGATGGAACTAGAGCGGCTGATAAGGTGGCATGTATTGATTTGTTCTGTAGTTTAAATGATTAAAAATAATTACCAAATTGGATATAATCTCATATTTTAAAAAATTATTGGAGGTAAATAAATGTGTTTTGGAAATACATTCTCCACCATCTCTTTTGGCTTAAAACATGTTTGTTGCTGTTTGTATTTAACCAGAGAAAGACTTTAATATCTTTTATTAATGGATTCCTTTTGCTCCTATAGTTACTATGGATTGAAGACATTTCTAATTTTAACATTATCATTATAATTTGATGATAAACAATTCCATTCTTACTTTCTTAACATCTGATAGTAAAATAATTCTGTCTTCTGGAATCAAACATGTAATCTATCTATAATAGTTTTTTTTTTTTTTTTCAAATTTAACAGGCTAATAAAGACATGATATAAATCACCACCTAACATTGTATTGCTAAGAAATGTCAGTTAATATTCATTTTTGTGGGCTTTTTAATGAACTTCTAGAGTATAATTACTGTGATGACATTCACTCTAGTTCCA